CCAGTTCCTGCGGCAGAGGCAGCGGCGAGCCTACCAGATCTTCGAGGAGACCAAGCAAGGGCACCTGGAGAGGGAGTGCGTGGAGGAGCGCTGCAGCAAGGAGGAGGCCCGGGAGGTGTTTGAGAACGACCCCGAGACGGTAAGGACGCCGAGCCGCCGCGGAGATTTCGGTGGGGTGTCCGGCTCTGCCCTCCCGCCCTCCCTCCATCCATCTGCGGCTGGGTGCCAGCTGCCTGCACAGCTGGGGCAGCCGCTGGGAGGAGGAGGAACCAGAACCGTGAGGTGAATGACTGGAAGCCCAGACGGCGTAACTAGCACCCAGCCTGCGCAAGGGCTGTCTCTGGGCTCTCCAGCCCTGAGACAGGTATTTCTAACACCTCAGAGAGGATGGGCTGGGTGAGCGGCCCAGCCTGGCGCCTGCCAGCATGACTGCTGCCTCCGGAGAGCTGCGAAAATCCATGAAGCCAGACCAGTGCGCCATAATGCTATGGCTTCTCTGCCTGGACACCCTACTGTCCCTCTTCCCCTCACCCTCCCACCCTAGCTGTATTTAAAACCCCCTTACTGTTGTGGCATATGTCAGAATAGGGGGTTCTTGGAAGAAGTGCGTCATAAGGATGCTTTATCCTTTTGGGCCATATTCGGCTGGGTTAGTATTTTGGATTCGGTAGGTTCAGGACCTGTCACTACGGCAGCAGGAGAGCGCGTGTATGGGAACGTGGTACTGCTGTGCTTGTAACAGCGCACGGGGATTCACACCGTTCCAGCCTGCACACCGCGTGTGCAGCTGACTTTTCCAGTCTTCTCAAGGCTGACTTTCGCTCCAGTCATCATCTTCTCCCTTTGGACAGCATGTGGATGCAGTTGTGTTGCTTTACTAAGCTTAGCTTACCCTTCTCATCACTTTACACCTCCCCTCGACGCCGTTTTGGATAGGCTGTTCTCGTTGCAGAGATTATCTGGCATTGATTTAGCAGCAGGTAGTGGATTTTCTCAGTGTTCGAACTGAAGCTTGGTATCACACAGCGTGTTCCTGTTAATGGTAATGTTAATGCTCTAGGGAGAAGATAGGGAAGAGAGAGTGTGAGCATGTGTGTGCACGCGTACATACAGAACAGCACCACGGGCAAGGGAGGGACTCATGTGAGGAGATGTTTTATGTTTCAGTCAGACAAGTCTTGACATGTGTGCTTCATTAGCAGGCTCAGCGCCGGTCGTACAGCACGGTAGCTTGTTGTCACAAGGCCGCAGTAAGTATGGCAAAAACATTGCGATGATGGCTTTTCTTTTTGACAATCTTTAATTTAGAGGTTAATATGGAGCGCTTGCCCAGGCAGTGTTTAACGGTACAGCTCTTAGGTGTACGTGTAGTCACCTCTGCATGCAGCGGTGTTTGCTTCTGTTCTGTAAAACTGAGCTAATAGAGCATATGGGTAACTGTAATGTGGTGAGAGTGGCCGGCACAGCTATTGCCATATTCATGTTGAATAACATGACTTTAAGCAGAGTATAAATATTCACTATATAGCAGCGAATGCAGGAAAAATAGCCCAAATGGGGTTTTCTAGCATTCTGGAAAAAAGGTGATCTGAGGTCACCGGTTTGGCTGACTGGCTTCTGGCCAAGAAAGAAGCCAAAGGCGGCGCATTGATGGGTCAGTTTAGAGTTTGGTAGACTGTGCCAATGTGTCAGGAGTTTTTCACAATATTTGGTACGTACTTTGTGTATTGAAAAAAAGACATAGTCCTCCTACTGTAATGAAAATAGTGAAATAATTTTGGTTTGGAATCTTTTCATGTGTAATACTAATTCTATAAGATCCAGTCATGCCATTTAAGTGTGTTTTGCAGGACAATGCAAACCTTCTGTCATTGCAACTGCTTTTGATTTTTTTTGGTGCGTTTCCTTTGCTACTGCTGCTAGGTCTCTCTCTAGTTCTGAAAATGCCTGAAAAAAAACCACTGAGACTAGATTAGCTTCTAGTGTCTGTGCCCCCTTGCTTATTTTACATCTGCTTCTACACCAAAGCACTGTATTTGATAATACTTCTAGGTCTGCAGTGACATAAGACCCTACCTTTTCTGAGACACAAAACTCCCAAGAGCTGTGAACTTGCTTGTTAGGTGCAGTACCTCCTGCTCCTTGCTGTTACTTTGCTTCGATTTGACCGGGAAGCGAGTGTGCCTGTCAGGGGGATTTATGGCTCCCCCTATCCGTTTTGCAGTCGGTGGGTGGCACGAAGGCAGCAGCCGCTGTTCAGTAGCAGTTTTCTAATGTGTGGTGGCAGAGGTCACACATGTGGGCTGTTCCTGCTCCATGCATTGGAAGCCTTCGGTGCTTTGTAAGGTGCTGGTGGCTACTCCTCTGGCAGTATCTGTGGATTTGATGGGCAGAGCGTTTTCCTCATCTGCATTTTCATCTGACTTGATCTTTTCACATCTCCTTAATACGCACCTGAGGTAATGGAAGTGTTTCTTAAACCCTAGGAAGTTATCGTGCTGTCGTTTCACTGATACTGCCTCGTGTGTCCTGCCCTGGTGACTGGCAGAAGGAGAAAGCTAACTGAGGCAGACTTGACTCAGGAAAGATGAAAATTGTTGATAGACGATGCCTATTAGTCTGAGGAGTTACAGTAACTACAGTCACCCTTCAGCATTACTGTCAGGCTGCAGCTGGTCCATGCTGGTCAAGCAAGGACTTTTTATTGACTGGGGAAATGTATAGATTACTGTTGACAGCTCATGTTCCCTTGCAGTTTAGGCAGGCTGAGGTTTTTCTCTCTGCCTGCGGAACCTGGTCACAGGGATTAACTACTTAGGTCGTAGCAGAAAGAAACAGCCACAGCACCTCCTGCCCTGTGCTGAGCCCTTGTAGGAGGCAAACCGTGAGGAATGCATCGGCGTGCTGCTGACTTGGGCATTCAGGTCTGCCCCCATCTCCTGGGTTTCCTGCTTTCAAGCACTGGATGAGCACGAGTGTAGGCATTTGGCTGTTTACTGTCCCATGGGAGCAATGGTCTCACAGCTTGAACAACTCAAGGTTAGTCTGAGGTTAGTTAGTAGCTTCTCTGTTAGACCTCAAGAAAGGCCTGCGATGTGAGCACAAAAACATTGTCCCTCTTCCCTGCCCGGCCCCATCAAACAAGCTAATGAAAAGCATGAGCCTTCCTAACAAACCTTGCCATTCTTAATTCTCCTATGGTTGTGCGAAGAGAATGTCAAGCCCTAATTTCAAGACCTATGACTTAAAGCTGTGATACGAAATTACATTAACTGGTTCAATCAGACAGCTCCAGAAGTTCAGGTAAGATGAAGCAAGGCTGTAGTGTAGCTTACATGATGCTTCCCAGGTGAAAACATAGCTTGATCTGGCCAATTATAACATCTAGCCAAGAGTAAGATTTTTTTTTTTTACCTACAGAAGCAATGGAAGGCAGGGGAAAACGGTGCTCTGGTACAGATAAAGACATTTTATTCCTATATACTGGTCTATACCCTTTTCCTTCCCCCCCCCAGCCTGTGCCTTCCATTGCTTCAGTGATCAGCTTTCCACAGCAACATCTGCAAGCCGTCAGCAGAGGATACGCATTCTCTGAAACCTGAATGCAGGTGTTGCCACATGTGTGATTACTTACATCAACTGCTAAGAATAGTGTATTAGGCAGGGCTAAATAGCCATTCATTTGCAGGCCAGCGCAGCTTTTGTCTTTCATGTTACGGAAAATACAAATATCAGCTCGCCCAGACTGGAGGAAGGAAGATCAATTGAAACATTTTTAGATTGTATTTTTTTCTTTTAGGAGGCAGAACAAAACTCAGTCTGTGCTATTTGTATGACTATACATGGTAAAAACAAGTGTGAGCCTAGGTTAATGAGTCTTGCAGCCTACATTCTTCATGAAGCTGATTAGAACATCCTTAGATATTATTGCAGAATCCTGGGATGGTGCCTGTTTTATAATTTCCTTTATGCTAGAGGTACCAAACAGAAAAATGAAAAGATAATACGGTGGGAAAAAAATAAGGATGGAAAACATGTTCATGGGAGGTACGAGGACTGTTTCTAAATGTGATCTATGAAATAGATATGCGAGGTGTGATAGATGGGATAAGTTGCAAAATATCTTGGATATAGAGATAAGAGTGTTATCTTATTTAAAATGTTGATGAGGCCTTATAAAAAGCAGTACTGCAGAAATATTTGACCTTGGTATGCAGTCAAGGTATTACAGCTTGTTAACCGACTGATAAACTGCTCTGGAATTTGGTTGACCTGTTCTAAAAATGTGATCATCCAAGCATGTGAAACAAAGGGCAGAAGGGAGTGTAGTTGCTGGTGTTCTTGGAAACATTGGATTTCACTGAAGAATAAATACAGCAAAAATGCATCCTTGTGCAAGGAGTGTCTCTGTTTTGAAAGGCTCAGCACAGGGAAGGTGTTTGATGGCAGCTTCTTATCATTTGGTACCACAGTTTTATCAGCACAGCATCTGTTGCTGCACATCTTGCTGCTGTTACTGTTGAAGAACTACTGGTTGTTCTGCAGGTCACCACTGAAATCGCCGTGCTGAATGCTTTGAAAGGTGGTAGGCCCACCAGAAATGCTGATGTAGGTCAGTCTGGCCACCTCTGTTTACTGTGTATGGATTTGTCCCTCAACAGAGTGCCATGGAAAGCCAACTAGTTTTCATAGGCGTGCAGAATGAACATCAGCTTCACGGGCATGCACATGAAAAGGTCTCTTGCTTTTTGAGAGACTTGCATCCAAACTCCTATTAAAATCTATGGCTTCTCAAATACACAAAACGCTGGCAGAGAATCACAGGGTAACTTGGGCTGAGAAGGAGTCAGGAGGTCTCTCATTGACTCATAGCAAGGGCAGCAGGGACGCCAGGCCAGGCTTTTCAGGGCTTTTTGCAGTCATGTCTTGAAAATTACTGATCCTAACAAAACATCCAGCAATGTCAGCATTCTTTCTGCTAGGCTGGGTTTATCAAGAAGCTGAAATGCAGATGAAGCAATATATAGGGTGTGATAATGGCCAGTTTGGTCATGTTTCATAGTGCTACTGGCTCATTGGTTTTATTTCTTTATTTCTTCCATTACGTGACATGGTCACAATAACAAAGATGAGCTGCAT